GTCTTTTAAAAAAAAGAAACAGACGTGTCATTGAGTCCACTTCCTTGCACTGTATAAACTGTATCTAATGCTTAATTCGTGGTAAATGATGATATTTATAGACATGTCTTTTGTACAAGTCTAGTATAATGACAACGTTTGGAAAACACACTTGTTGTTGAGGCAATACTTGTACGTGACAAAAGAGAAAAGATACATCCGTTTGGTATTGTAGTAACAGCTTAACAATGGACGGATGTTTACCAGACTTTGTCAGAATGATTTTAACTATAGGAAACGGTCGTTATAACGACTTTTCCTTCGTATCCTTTATAACATCCCCAGTCCAGGAACCCTATTGGTTTTATTTTTCTTCGCCATTAGTGATGGATCCTTTTGTTATTTTAGAGATTTTTTTGTTCGCTGTGTTTATGTGATTCTACATTTCGCTATTTATGAGGGGTTCTACTTTTCACAATTTTCGAGAAGTTTAATTTTTCACTATTTACGTGAGGTTATATTTTTCATGAGGGATTTGATTTTTTCGAGTGGTTCTATTGTTCACTATTTCGAGGAGTTCTCTATTTTACTATGTGTAAGGAGATCTAGTTTTGCTATTAATTTGCCTGACATTGTCTGATGAAGGTGACCGAGTAGTCATCGAAACGCCTGGTTGTATTGTAAGATCTTCCATTCTACAAATCGGTATGTATTTGTGCTATTTCGGATAAATTAAGTACTAACTAAGTAGAAACTATACAGATATAATGTTGGAGAACCTTCATGATTTTGTTCAACAAATAATCGAGACAGAAACGTGCGTTTTACGAGATCAGTTAATTAAAAGCTGTATCATGGATTTTAGTTTCTGTTTTTCTAAATGACACGTCTCTTGTGTATGGCCGCGCTTAATCATAGGCTTATGTTACAGCCACGTATAAATATGATTTAGGTCGGCGTTGTCTGTGAATATAAGCAAGCTGAAGTTACACACGATTCTTCAAGTTTGTCTGGCTGTCAAAGCATTTTTTACCATCCAGACGAAGTTTTCCTGAAATGTAAGGTTCATTTTTGTAAAAAAAAAAAAGGACCATATACGCGACCGAATCAATATCCACTGGATGATTGTAAGAGTCAACTGATGTTGGACTTCTTCCTGATTGAACGTTTGCGTTACTTTTGTTCTCGGGACATTTCAAGAACAGACATTTACTTGTCGCGTATTGTCGATCATCTGAAACATTCAGCTAGGGGCATATTTAAGAGAAATTGCATTCCTATTCCCGTTGTAATTCGGGAGATATTTTGATGGTGTCTTCCTTAAACAATCGTCTTCAAAGGTCCGGTTATTGTGATGACATTTAACTCAAAACGCATAGCATGGTTTACTTTATATTTTCTTACTCTCATCACCTAGCAACTCAAATGAATAAAATGGATATATATTTCTTTAATGCTCCACTTAAACTCTCTGATGTAAAATCTCATTTCATAGACATGGCTTTATCTTTCGTTTCGTTTAGCCATGAGGATTACATGTACATTAATGTAGGTATAAAACTAAGACCGAATCACAATATGATCTTGCACGCTTCTATTGTATATTTATATTCAAGACTTTTAATGGGTATTCTTCTTCACAAAGTATACATACCATCTCAAAGCAATTTCAGTGGCAATATTTTCTCCTGTCTAGTTTTCCCTTCTGACAGGGGCGTTCTAGGCACCAGTCTTCGTATCAATATCTGACATTGTGGGGATATTACATCCCATCCAACGTAATAAACCTAAGACGTTTCTTTGTGCATAATTTCTTTCTCTCTTCTCTAACGTTTTTACTTTTTTTTGTACCAAACTACAGAAGTTGTGACTGCTTTCATTTATACCAAAGTCCACTTTCAGAAATCTAATTTCTTTCTAGACAATAGTAATCCCAAATGTATTGTAGTGAACGCCAAGTGTGTAAGACAAAGAGGTCATTTGTTTTCCCCACTCTCCATGTCTAGAATACATTCATTGCAACAATAGTTTTATCTTATCTAACTGGTTGACAGAGTCCACTTTGTATTTCCTCCCCCGACGCTAGAGCGACAAATTCTAATTAACTTGGCTTACTAAATGCTAATGGTTGTTTGTTAAATATCCATACAGACGAATTTGTGGGGAAATGTATTAATGTCGATATTTTTGCGATTATCCTGCTTGTGTCAAATACGGCCGACATGTATATCATTATAACAATGTGTTACATGTATGATTATAAAAAGTCACGTGGTGTTGAAAAATTTCGATCACACAACCAAAGATAACAGATTGGATAGAAAATATTCAAACATCCACATGAATGCTATTACATCAACGCCATTTCGTTCACGAAACGTAAATAAAAGAACCCAATACAGGTTGGGAACAGATGAAAGCAGCATACTTGCAACATAACATGGATTGATATATCGGTATGAAACTTATAATCGTTTTAGTACCTACGTCCCTCCAAAGAACACTTAAACTAACGGGGAGAGAGCAGTAGTAAGTATTGGAACAGAAGGAAATTGCAGTCCTTTTTGCCTTTAATTCAGATTGAGCAAGATCCATACATGAGTAGATCGGGAGCTTCACGTCACTTGTTATTGCTATCAATACCAGAGTTGTCGTTCCTGGATTCTGCAATTCACTTTAGGAAAATACTGCAAATACAATTATCTAATTGGTCAAAAATAAGCGAGTATCAGTCACCGTGAACCTCCCTATATTTCACAGAAAAACAGGTATTTTGCTTTAATCAATTGTAACGTTTTATCATTACCGAAGATCACTATAAGCTAATTACGACGACATTTACATAATCAGTGCAAGCTGATTAATACTTCATCATGTGTGCAATACAACAGCAATATGTTGACAAGAGAAAAGACTTGTAGATTCAGGTTTTGTTCTCAAGTATATGATTTAAGTTTTAAGTTAGAAATGTTGAGAGATTTGTTGTAGAGGAAAGTAGAACTCCATATACCTTACGTTTTAGTACATTTACATATCAACATGTAAATGATACTTGTTCACAAGACAAACAAACGAAGCACATATATATAATAGACATAATGTAAATTTAGAAATAGATAAAGTGACGACAAAGAATGAATACAACTGCATCAATCAGCTGTTTTGTATTTTTAGAAATCGTAAGTGATGCTAAAGTTCTGGATCTTGAAATATAAGAGACGACTTGTAAAAGTTTGAAGTCATGTTCTGAAAATGTTTAAATGTTGACTTAGTCTGCCATCGGTACAATTTGGTTCATGTTTCTGGAAATACGTATTGTAAAGTTTGTTCCAAGAATAATATCCTTTCTCTCTTTGATCAGTTAAAATTGTCGTTTCATTTCGTGGATTCCCGCATCTTTTACCCCTAGCATCACTGAAAGGTATAGACAAATTATTCATCTCAAGACATACCTTTATGTTAATGAATTCGTATAAAAGGGTGTTACTAAAACGTGCGCCTTTTCTACTCTTTAGATCTGTTTTCCATTCTTATCGATATCACGAGGTTAAGATTTTTTTTCGTATTATTTCGATGCAGCATTATCCCGCATTATGCGCAATAACTCGATCTCCTAAGTTTAAACGTTATAGCAGAGAATCTGTGGTATTATATACAAACCGTCATACGAGATTCACACACAATTAATTGTTACCAGATAAACTCCTGAATGAATTACATCTAACACGTCATCAACTTTTACCTCATTTGAAAATTATTTTTATTTTGTTTATGGTCTGTGGACTAAAAGTTGTTACGGGTGGTTAGGGATGAGTTTTGTTAGTAGGTTGATATTAAAATGGGAGGAACTTGTACGAGTAAGTAGAGACTACACTTTTATCAGACAATACGTTGGGCCATTGTCATACAGAATCACGAACCACGTCAATCAGAGGTAATCAAATAATTTTTCTAGTTCAACCAAGACTGATTCAAACAAATGCTGTTACTATGCTTGTGTAGTTAGTGTAAATGTCTGCGGCTACTTTTGTAATAATCAAGTTATACTGTCTAGCCACCATTTAGTGATGACATAACTATACCAACTGTTTCCTAGTTCATCTGGAATATTACGTTCCGTATAGCATGGAACATCAGTAGAAATAAGGTATTTTTGTACCTTGATAATTAGATCTCCTAACTTTGTATGGACAAGAAAGCCGTGAATATACCTCAGGTGCTTTACATGTAACCATTATAAGGAACTGCACAGTATTCAGAGTACGGAAGTTTTATTTTCGTGTGCCTGTTCTAGTTTAAACAATATCTTGTTCAATATCCGACAATATTACACACATATAGATATAATTGTTATGGGATGGGAAGACCACATATGATCAGTGCGTACACCATTGTTATGACATACATGTCTTATGACATTATAGAGCTGTGTTTGACTGAAGTTCCCAATTGTTTCTGTCGTAATATAATGTCATGATGTTATATATTTTGACATGATCAGCAAAAGCGCTGTAGAGTTGGAATATTTACAATTTAGACTTCGGTTCTTTCAGACTAACAAAATTAAATTTTATTGAATGTTGAATACTTGAAAAGTATATGAGTTATGAGTTATGAATGATCAATGATAGTTTCCATTTCAGAGAGATTTGCAAAGACAAATACTTGGTTTTGTTGCCGATCCACAAATGCCATAATAGACATCATTTTCATAAAAATCTGATGGGTTTCATAGCCACTGTATATAACACACAAAATTTAAAAAAAAAGTAGCGCTTCTAAAAATATTTGGGAAATTAAAATTCAAAATATTTACGAAACGAAATGTTGTTCAAGTTGTCAAAGATAATTTGTCTCATAACAAAACGTACCAGTGTTACATGTATTAAAATTAGCTTATCTACCTGTATCAAATGTTTGGACATTTCATCTGGTTTGAATCACACTACGACAAGAATGTGTTTTATATATCGTATCGTTATGGATGTTCAACATATTTACAAAAAAATGATAAGTCTTACCTTTGGACAGTTGTAAATACAATCCAACAATAGTTAAAATCACGGAAATGTCACTGATATCTACTCCTAAACACCGAGGCATTCTTAATTAGTTCACAAGTCATCTCTCTCATACGCAGAGCGAGCACAAATGACACTGTCGCTTTGGTGACATGATCATACACTAACTGCCAGTCATTGAAGAGTTCCGGAGGATAACACCACCAGTCAATAGTAATTACTACCATAGATCTGTATGAAAGACATCAGCACTGAGGATCAAAAGGCACGCGTCGGGTTATAAGTCATTCCACTTGTAGCATTGCTTACATAATATGATAGAAATACGGGGCAGATCGGGGGCAGTAGTAATGAATGTGTTAGAGTTGGCAATACAAGTTGGATTTCTGAAAGAAATCGATGTCGCATTCATGAGGCTATTTGGAGTCAATGCTCTAGAAACAAGTAGAGAAACCTACATATAGAAATATATATACCCAAATATTGATAGTTCTCTGTTAATTAACATCTATACCTATATACAATTTGTCATCAGAGTGTAATTATATCGATATTCAGCGGTAAATCACACTTTTTTAACTGGAAAATGACCAATCAATGCGAATCGTTTAGAACATCCCGCTTTCGTTACGCTCTGGATAAGGAACTCTTTATGTAGATTAACTGCCTTCTCGTTCCCATTATCTATTTATATATTGTTTTAGAGTTTCGTGGACTTGCAACAGCCATGATCATATGATGACGGTGTTCATAGATGATGAGACTATTGTCGGACGTTTTATAGTGTCATCACACTGAAATGTTATTAACTTGACACTGAAATATGACGCCCTAATCGCTCAAGTTAAAAAAATAACGAGCCAACTTGCGTCCGATTCAATGCTGCGAAAGTCTTAACAACTTCGGTATATCATGGCACTGAGTAAAATCTATAACCGACCTCTCTTGGTCGGCACTCAACAACCAAGTCATCTGTCAGTTAGTTTTACGTCCTCGCGAGGCCATTTAGAAACGATTTCTGTCGATGAAGGTTCCACTGACGAACATTTTTATCTCGACTTTGTAGCATGACACCACAACCATTTAATTAAAACGAATAGTCCTTGCATATCCCATTTGATGCCAAGTGACAGACAGGGAGCAGAAATATCATTTCAAGTTATAGTTTAATGCATCCACTAGTATTACATGAAAAATCGTACAAATCATCAATTTGCAATTGTTTTCGTAGTTCTGATTATGAATAAAAAACTTTTTTTTTGTGCGAAACAATTAAAAAGATAACGATATTCGATGAAACGATTGCAAAATATGAACTAAGGATATATATTTACAGGACGACTCCTGAAAAAGCACAGAAAGAATAAGACCAGGTGTGAGGAAGGGTAAGCGTCATTTGCTTCATCAACGACGCCCGCCATGTAAATATTGGTCAATCCAAGCAAGTAATGTTAAGTTCCCAATTGAAAACAAATTGAACAACAACGGAACCATCTGACATTCTAACGAGTATTAAACATATCCCACTTCATGTCGCGCAAAGAAATAGAATTCGTCTAATCAAGATCATTGTTAAACCGTAAAACTTCCCTGTAATTTTCCTCAACCTGCATCTTTTGAAACCTTGTGTTGTGATTGTTTCTGTCAGTTGCCGATACCTTGCAAATTTGAATCAACTGTTACAAATACCGTATGTATACGGTTTAATGTCATGTCGAAAAATATACCCATGAAGCACTTCAATAAAGCCTTCCATTTACTAACATTGCTAGCACAAATACATACGGTAAATCTCCAAATATTTCACCCGAGGACATGTTACAGAAACGGCTATACTGCACCATTCCTATCACTAAAAAACTAATAGTATAGCTGTATACTTATCTATCACATAGGACTACGTACAAGGAATTCCTGTATCAAATCGCCATAAAACGACCATTGGAAATACTCGCATGTATCATATGGCCATACAAAATATCTATATATATTAACATTATGTTCCTAAGCACCACAGTTGGCCTGATGTTGATATATGGAGACAGGAGATCCGAATAGCAGATTGGAGATTCAAAACTTTAAAAATCTAATTTGTGTCTTTTTAGAAATCTCTAATTACCAACACGGTAACTGTGGAAATTTCATTAAAAGAATCAATGCAATCAACGAATTGGAAATTCGAATAATGAATCCGCCGCTAAATCCAGCAGATACAGTCATGTGAATACTGGCCTCAAATTGTGTAAATGAACAAAATAAAAAGAAAAGAGTTACTTCAATTGGTTACAAAAAATGATAACAAAAGAAAACAAGAGGCCCATGGGCCTTAACGGTCATCTGACAAAAAGCAAGCCAAACCTAAAAAGTGGGTTGAGGTCATTCATTTGAACAAACTTGGTAGCCTCTCCTCCAAGCATCTTACAGGCCCAATATCAGCACTCATGGACTTTTGCTTGTTGAGAAGAAGTCGTTTGTATATTTTAACATATTTGACCCCTGTGACCTTGAAAGTGGGTTGAGGTCATTCATTTGAATAAACTTGGTAGCCTTTCCTCCCAGCATGCTACAGACCCAATATCGGCACTCATAGACTTTTGCTTATTGAGATGAAGTCCTTTGTATATTTTAACATATTTGACCCCTGTGACCTTGAAAGTGGGCCAAGGTCATTCATTTGAACAAACTTTGTAGGGCTCCATGCCAGCATGCTATGGGCCAAGTATTAGCCCCCTAGGCCTTCTAGTATTTGAGAAGAAGTTATTTAAAGATTTTGACATATTTGACCCCTGCGACCTTGAAAGTTGTTCAAAGTCATTCATTTAAATAAACTTGGTAACCTTTCCTCCCAGCATGCTACAGACCCAATATCGGCACTCATAGACTTTTGCTTATTGAGATGAAGTCCTTTGTATATTTTAACATATTTGACCCCTGTGACCTTGAAAGTGGGCCAAGGTCATTCATTTGAACAAACTTTGTAGGGCTCCATGCCAGCATGCTATGGGCCAAGTATTAGCCCCCTAGGCCTTCTAGTATTTGAGAAGAAGTTATTTAAAGATTTTGACATATTTGATCCCTGTGACCTTGAAAGTTGTTCAAGGTCATTCATTTAAACAAACTTGATAGCCCTTCATCCCAGCATGCCACAGGCACAATATCAGCAATCTGAGCCTTTTGGTTATTGAGAAGAAGTTGTTTAAAGATTTTAACATATTTGACCCCTGTGACCTTGAAAGTGGGTTGAGGTTATTCATTTGAATAAACTTGGTAGCCTTTCCTCCCAGCATGCTACAGACCCAATATCGGCACTCATAGACTTTTGCTTATTGAGATGAAGTCCTTTGTATATTTTAACATATTTGACCCCTGTGACCTTGAAAGTGGGCCAAGGTCATTCATTTGAACAAACTTTGTAGGGCTCCATGCCAGCATGCTATGGGCCAAGTATTAGCCCCCTAGGCCTTCTAGTATTTGAGAAGAAGTTATTTAAAGATTTTGACATATTTGATCCCTGTGACCTTGAAAGTTGTTCAAGGTCATTCATTTAAACAAACTTGATAGCCCTTCATCCCAGCATGCCACAGGCACAATATCAGCAATCTGAGCCTTTTGGTTATTGAGAAGAAGTTGTTTAAAGATTTTAACATATTTGACCCCTGTGACCTTGAAAGTGGGTTGAGGTTATTCATTTGAATAAACTTGGTAGCCTTTCCTCCCAGCATGCTACAGACCCAATATCGGCACTCATAGACTTTTGCTTATTGAGATGAAGTCCTTTGTATATTTTAACATATTTGACCCCTGTGACCTTGAAAGTGGGCCAAGGTCATTCATTTGAACAAACTTTGTAGGGCTCCATGCCAGCATGCTATGGGCCAAGTATTAGCCCCCTAGGCCTTCTAGTATTTGAGAAGAAGTTATTTAAAGATTTTGACATATTTGACCCCTGCGACCTTGAAAGTTGTTCAAGGTCATTTCATTTAAATAAACTTGGTAGCCTTTCCTCCCAGCATGCTACAGACCCAATATCGGCACTCATAGACTTTTGCTTATTGAGATGAAGTCCTTTGTATATTTTAACATATTTGACCCCTGTGACCTTGAAAGTGGGCCAAGGTCATTCATTTGAACAAACTTTGTAGGGCTCCATGCCAGCATGCTATGGGCCACGTATTAGCCCCCTAGGCCTTCTAGTATTTGAGAAGAAGTTATTTAAAGATTTTGACATATTTGACCCCTGTGACCTTGAAAGTTGTTCAAGGTCATTCATTTAAACAAACTTGATAGCCCTTCATCCCAGCATGCCACAGGCACAATATCAGCAATCTGAGCCTTTTGGTTATTGAGAAGAAGTTGTTTAAAGATTTTAACATATTTGACCCCTGTGACCTTTAAAGTGGTTCAAGGTCATTCATTTGAACAAACTTGGTAGTCCTTCATCCCAGCATGTCACAGGCCCAATATCTACACTCTGAGCCTTTTGGTTAATGAGAAGAAGTTGTTTAAAGATTTTAACATATTTGACCCCTGTGACCTTTAAAGTGGTTCAAGGTCATTCATTTGAACAAACTTGGTAGTCCTTCATCCCAGCATGTCACAGGCCCAATATCTACACTCTGAGCCTTTTGGTTAATGAGAAGAAGTTGTTTAAAGATTTTAACATATTTGACCCCTGTGACCTTTAAAGTGGGTCAAGGTCATTCATTTGAACAAACTTGGTAGAGCTCCATGCCAGTATCCTCTGTGCCAAGTATTAGCCCCCTAGACCTTCTAGTATTTGAGAAGAAGTCGTTTGAATGAAAAGTTTACGGACGGCGCACGGCGCACGGCGGACGGCGCACGGCGCACGGCGGACGACGACGGACGAAGCATGATGACTATAGGTCATCGGACCCTTCGGGTCCAGATGACCTAAAAATCGCAATAGACAAAAACCTATTGTATAGTCCTTAGAATGACACGAAACGACTGTCTCCATTACCAATGTAAATTACTATCTGTTATGGAGCATATATATCAAACCCTCAAGCTAATCCATTAGACTCTAAATAACACATCACTGCTGGTGGAATATTTCGGGAA